CTGAGCAGGGCCACAGTCGACCAGTCAGAGTGGCGCCTGCACCCAGATCTGTTTCAGGAGGTGGTTCAGAGATTCGGTCTGCTAGTTATAGATCTGTTCACTTCTCCCCTGAACGCGCAGCTCCCGAGATTCATTTTGAGATACCCATCCCAGAGGGTGGAGAACATCAACGCCCTCCATTGCCGGTGGCCCCAGGGACTCTTCTATGCCTTCCCCCCCTCTCCCGCTGATATCCAAGGTGATCCAAAAGCTGCTGGACGAGAAAGCAGAACTGATCTTGGTGGCACCATACTGGCCCTGGAGGCCGTGGTTTGCAGATCTCAGGGGTCTGTCCACAGAAGAACCATGGAAAATTCCACCACACAAAATTCTGCTCACCCAGGGACTGATCCAACACCCGGACCCTCAATGGCTACACCTAGCCGTTTGGAGGTTGAGCGGAGACATCTAAGAAAGGAGTATCTCTGACCAGGGTGATCAACACCATTCAAGCAGCTCGGCACCCTTCTACGAGCCGTATATATAATGCCACATGGACTATCTTTTATAAAAGGTGCACCAAATCCAAGGTGGACCCATTTTCGCTGTCAGTAGCACAAGTTTTGGAGTTTCTTCAAGATGGTCTTGACAGGGGTCTCTCTCCAAACACCTTAAGATGACAGGTGGTGGCTATTGCCTCGGTGGTGACCTGGGAACATCCATCTCCCACCACCCATGGATAAAGAGTTTTCTTCGGGGTGCCACAAATTTATGTCCACCAGTGGTACATCGTTACCCGACCTGGGACCTTAACAAGGTACTCACAGCACTCACGAAGGGTCCATTTGAACCACTGAAAACTACTAGTCTCCATTTTCTCACATACAAGGTAGTTTTCCTCGTAGCTATAACATCAGTACGATGTATCTTGGAAATAGCGGCTCTATCGGCCCGAAAGGACCTTTGTCTATTCCATACTGACAGAGTGGTTCTTTGACCAGACCCCACATTCATACCAAAAGTCAATTCTGCCTTCCACAGGGCACAAGAACTTGTGCTCCCAAATTTTTGCCCCAGGCCTTCTCAGGGCCTAGAGCATCAATGGCACTGACTTGATGTCTGCAGAGCTCTCTGTACGTACTTACATCAAATGGCTCCTTTCAGGAAGACTGAAGCCCTTTTCGTATCTTTTCAGCCAACCGCTCAGGAGCATAAGGTCTCACCTTCAACTATAGGCAGGTGGCTGAAAGCCACAATAGCCAAGGTGTATGAGATTCAATCATTAGCCGTGCCTAGGGGCATCACGGCACATTCAACAAGGAGCATGGCAACTTCAGCGGCCTGGGCCACGCAAGCTCCTATAGCAGAAATATGTAGAGTGGCAACATGGCTCTCTCCATCACCTTTCATTCAGCATTACAAAATTGATGTATTTGCTTCTGCTGAGGCCTCCTTTGGTAGGAGGGTGTTACAACGGGTCCACTCAGACAGTGGGGGGGCTCCAACCCAGACGGAGACCCTCCCGTAGGACAAGCTAAGCTTTGGTATGTCCCACTCTCTGGATGCTCAGAGCAGCTCAATGGAGAAGGGGTGTTGGTACTTACCTAATATGCCCATTCTCAGTGAGCTGCGATGAGCATCCAGCCCCACCCAATATCTGTCTGGTGGGATCCTGTTCTGGTCACCAAAATCTGGAAATTAGTAAAACAAACAAACAAACATAACAAAGAAGAGGGCGGGGGTTGCATCACCTTGTCTTTGCCAAAACTGGGGAACTGCTAGGGAGGAGTCAGGGAGGAGTAAGAGCGTCCTAACAATTAAGCCCAGCCTATCCGAGCAGAGACTAAGCACCTCCCACTCTCTGGATGCTCGTCGCAGCTCACTGAGAACAGGAGTATCAGGTAAGTACCAACGCCCCTTTTCAGCCGCACACAGCAAGAAAATAGGCAATGACAAATTTATTGAAAAAATGAAGCTTAAAAAAACTGCTAATGATTTTCTAGGTCTTAACAAACTTAGTTCTTCATACTGATTGAAGATAAATTACCATGGGGATTTTCTATCATTGTATATGATAGTAATAAAATTGATGTCCTGGAAAAATGCTTTTGCCAAGTTTTTATATAAATACCTCCAGGCAATAGATTTGTCAACCTAAACTGGCTCAACATTAGTTCATAATAACTATTTATTGACACATTTGAAAGAGGAATAATGTGCCTTTGGGGAGTACAGTTATGACTCTGACTCCTCCATGTTTGATCTGCAACTATAATCACACAAATTAGGTATCAAAGAGTATGCATACTAAAGCACTAATAAGTTTCCGGTTTCACTGGTGATGGGCCTCAGGGCTTGATGTTCTCATCCTTCTTTTTAACATCTATACGAAACAGTTGGGAGAGGTCATCCAGCAATTTAGGGCAGAATTTCACAAAATAGTCAATGTCAACCCCGAAGCTTGAGGGGATTATCCACCATTGTTATTGTTGTTGATATATGAATATTGTTATTCATAGTACTATTAAAGTAGTATTGCATTATTTTCAAGTCATAAATAGGGGTATTTGTACAATCTGAAACCTCATGAGGGGATTGATGTGCTGAAGGTTTTGGAGCTCTCTGGTTTAGAATCTGGTACCATCAATATATTGTTGATACCTAATTGTAGGTTTTGCCTTAAGCCCCTCCAAGCAGTGCTATTGATGCTCTCTCCCAATGTTTGAGAATGTGCAAGTCTGGTGGGGAGAAACAATGTATTTGGATCTCCCAATTCTGGGAATTATTCATCTTCAGCTTGGATGAGATTGTACTTCTCCATTTGAAACTAGTGTGCAATCTGGGGACTTTCTTGGATTCACATTTCCTGCTCAAAAAGCAGGTGGCAACTATGGTGAACAAGGCCTTTGCAGAGGTAGATCTAGGGCACTGTCTTTGCACTTGTGCCTAGCTTAGGAGATCCTCTAGATAATCAATTGGAAATTGATCTCACAATTGGACTGCCACAATGCATTTCTAAATGGGGGTTATCCTTAAAGACCACTCAGAAATTACAGCTAGACCAGAATATAGAGATACAAAGAGTAATGGGCACACCTCAGAATGCCTATGTGACACCATTGCTCTGTGAGCTACATTGGCTGATACTTGGTTTCTGGGTGCAATTCAAGATGCTGGTTATCTTTAAAGAAACCCATCATCTTATGACTGTGAAATACCATTGGATGATCACACTTACTATTTCTGATCACTAAGGGCTCAAAAGAATTAGGAGAATCAAGAATGAATTCATTATAAAATGAAACTGATTTTAACATAGTAAAAACAGACTACTGAAGTGCTCACTAATGCATTAGTGCCTAGCTCTGTCATTCACATATTTTATGAATTGTTGACTTCTCAAGAATCTTGTCATTCCTTTTCATGCTGAGATACTATTATGACAGCAAAACTACTTTTTTTTTTTTTACTTCTGGACTGTGACATTTGATAGATAGCCAGGTTAGCATGCTTATTTTAAAAGTAAAGAAGTTGAACTATGATAATAAAAAGGAACCCCAACTTGTAAAATTACCAAAAGCTATAAATTTAATAGCTTTAAATATTTCTGCTTTCCTATGGATTAGCTTCTGTAAAACAGTGACACAATAATTTATTATCTAACTAATTTCACAAACAGCCTTGTATTCACCAAGTACTGTACATTGCTATAGGAACCTAAATAAATGCAGGTGTGAAACTTTGGCTACAGTGACAGTAACAAACTGAACTAAGTAATTGCACAGCATATGGTGCAGCTGATACTTGCTTGGGTGGGTAACAATGCATAAACTCAGATACCTGCAATTTATGGCAAGGGTTTCTGGAAAAACTATCCCTTTAAGACAACAACTCATAATGATTGGACTTTTCTTGAAAAATTAGAAGCTGAATGGTACCAAGAACTTTCTTGAGAAAATATTAGCTTACTTTGATAGCTGGCCTAACAAGGGTGTTCTCAAACAATGTAAATATTGAGTTAGAAAGTTAGTGTTCTGACCAAGGCTGCCTGAGACAGTAACAATCACATGCTGTTCCCAAAACCATGTTTTTATTTCAACAGCTGTGAATTATATGCATTCACAGCCCATAATGAGTCCCAAACAGTTTATGAATAGTCCAACAGAAGTCTGCCACAGTCGGGATAAGGCTGATAAGCACCCACCTTTATCTCCCTTGAAATGCTGCCAACAACTAAATTGCCAATTAGCTGTACAAAGTCAAACGGAGCACAAAGTCAACAAGGAGCTTCAGATTTTAAACTGACCAGAATGAACAAAGTTGCTTCCTGCAAAGGCTCATGTCCCTTTGCTCCTCCTTTATGTCTTATGGGAGGGGCCAATCATCTCCAAGCCTTACTCCCGAGTCGCTCCTTTTGTCTTAACTGTTCTTGCCTTCTGGCAGCTCTGCGCAAGTGTGCACTGGGAACAGGCTTCCCCTGTTCCTCTGCCTCGCTGATGTCAGGTTCTGGAGTCAGCACATAATTCTCAGATGGCCCTGGCCCCATCTCTGTGTCACACACAGATCCCTCGTCCGAGTCTTCCCCAGACTCCAGGACTGGTCCATGTTCCTCCCCACTGTCCAACTCTGCTGCCAGCTCCACAGGCCACTGGCAGACCACAACAGTTTGTCCCAAACATTTTCACCCATTACATCCTCAGTGCATATCCCAAAGGAATACTGTTTTGATCATGGCAAGTGCATGCCCTTTTCATCTCCTCATCACTACATATTCCATAGGCTTCTGAACTTACAATCGAGAATAATTTCACAGCTTGATTCTGATTATGCTTGGCTTCTCCATCAACTTTATGTTGGAGTAGTATAGTAATGCTTGTACCTCTCCTGCGCAGACATATTCCTGGGCAAATTTACAAATGTAATATTGTTCAGTGTCAGAGAATAATGGTAATTAAGAATATGTTTTATTTGGAAGTCACATTTGCAATTCAGCATTTCAGCACTGATGCAGGCCTACTCACCAGTTCTAGACATTGCCTGTGTCCATAAGCAGCAGCATAATGCACTGTATTATAACCATCTTTATCTTGGATTGAAGGGTTTGCTTCATTTTGAAGAAGAAATTCTAGACACCTGTGGATTGTTTAAAAATAAGCCAAAATGTTACCATTAAACTATATGTAATGACTGATGCTGAGATAAATATTCACTGTAATATTAAAAATACTTAATACCAACTTTTTATTTCTACTTTGCAGAATCCTGTACCTATGAATCTTCAGTTCTACCATACTCACTATTATTTTATATAATAGTAATGGCCTGGAAGTTACATACTTGCTATAAGATCCAATTAAAAGCATTCCCATTATACCATTTTCTATAATGTTTTGTTTCTATGTGAATTAACCACATATTAAAATATTTTCTTATGCTGGGAATTAGCCAGATTTGAATTACATTCTTTTCAACAGAGGGTTCCAATATGCAACAATAAGAGTTGCTATCTATACAGCCAGAGACAGCTTTTGTATTTCAAATAACCACACAGTGATAATGAGAAATGCTTTTTATCACTTTAGCTCTTCAATGACTATCTGCTGAAATGTTATTTACTATGCAGCTATTCAAACTGAAGAAACTATTCTGGATATTGGAGTCTAACATAGTTCCCAATAATTACTAATTTTTAATGTCAACTGTTTTTATTATGTTTCCTTTCCTTTTATTGTTTTTTAAGGAGACTCTTTATGGCAGATATTTGATAAATCGTTAACTACTATGTACTCTATATTCAAGATATTGGTTATTGATATAATAAAAGCTACAACAATAATCAGAAAGATATACCAACTCTAAGTATCAAGTTTATGAAAGAAAGATTTTCCTTATAGTATTTATTACAATGTTCTTGACATAAAGACAATGGAACGAATTTTCAAGCCTTATTAAAAGGTACAACAGGAGCTAACACACACACAAATCTTTAAAAACACAGACATACATAGACATAACTAGGTCAACACATATAGACAATCTTCTGTGGACTTCTGGGGAGGGGTTTGCCAGAAAGGAGTATAACACTTTGAAATTAGGGGATGTTAAATCTATTCCTCTGCAAAAGTCAGATTTGCTGAGATTTTTAGATGTGTATCAATGATTACTTGCTGTAGGGATGGGGAATCTGTTAGAGTTAAAATTATGATTCTGAAAATTAATGGATTCTAGTTGATTCCGGGTAAAATAAAGGGAAATTTTCTGGTATAGACAGCAAACATTTGTTTGTAACTTCTTCTAAATCCTTGATATATACCAAGCTGAAATAAATAGACACCTGCAGCAAAACTCATTTCAAAGTTTTTGGACACTATTAAGATCTCATTATTACATTTTTACGTCACCACTATATTCTCTTAGTGACATGCAGTGGAACTTCTCCAAGTGAAGTTGGGAGCTTCTGAGTTCTCATTAAATAGAAGAATGTAGAACCTAAGGTAGTTTCATGTGACATATCACCAAAGGTCCTTTGAGGGCAAAATTTATTGTAATTGTCTTGACTTGGATTCTGCAGTTTTGACAATTAGATAGTAGAGGAGTCCAGGACAGCTTTAAGGCATAACAATGAGTTCAAGAAACTGTATAGAGTTCAAACAGGCATTTATTTGCTCAAACTTTGCTTCCCATGGCTTATTCAGGTAATAGAAAGGGAGTGTTTAGCTAAATCCAGGTCTTTATACATTTTATCTTAAAAGCAGGAATGATACAGTCTTGATTAAAGAAAGTAAGCAAACATCTTTCTGGGAAGGGTGCTTGAGCTCTTGGTAGATAATCAGATTCAGACAGTCTTGAATAAAATAGATTTTTAACAGAAGTAAACCTTGGTCTTGGCACTAAATGTGCCTTGATTAGGTGGTGGGATAATCCTCTCTTTACAAGCAGAGAAATGTGGGATTCTACAGGACCTTTCAGGTGTCTCTAATACAATCAATTATTTTGGAGAGACTGAGTTAGGTCTATCTCTAGAGAATGCTACTGGGGAATTTCTGCTCGAGGCTGTATCATTTAAATGGTTTGGTGCCATACTTTCAAAATTTACATTAAACTGCTGGGGGAGATCATATGAAGTTTTTAATGAAGTCCCATCAATTTATTGATAATCTGCAGTTCTGTAGCACCCTATTAGTTTCAGGTAATTAGTCAACGTAACACTTCAGTAATGGGGTTTATTGGATAAAAGCCAGTAAATCTAGCTTCAACTCAAACAAATGGATTGTTAGTGAACGGTAAACAATTTAGGTGAATAAGTGACTCATGTTCAATCAAAATGATTAAAGCAATAATATTTCCCCAAACCGTAAGCATTGCTCTTTTTAGCTCTGCATGCAATGCCATGAAGCATGTATGAAAGGAGCAATGCTTGTGTCATGATGTTGCTTTTCTGATTTTGTAGATGGCTATGTAACTTTTTAAAATAATGAAATATGAAATATGCCAGTACATGTAAACATACATCTACATCAATAAACAAGAACCGTACAGTTAGCATTTTATGGTTTTCAGATGTCAAATCCAGCAGTAAACAGACACACAGAACAAAACTAAGAAATGGACATAACTGCAACCCACAGAAGGAGAAGCATAATGCAGAGATGTGGTCAAAGCGCTGTACTAATACCAAACTTACAATGCAGCTTCTTTTTCTTTCTTTTCATTGGATCTTTCAATTTCTTCAGAATTTTCATGGGAGTTACCCAAAATATTCTTTCTGAATGAAAAAGGCAACTCATTTTGAGATTCTTTGGAATAAACTATTCTTTAGCGTTTCACTTCAAGCAGTAAATACATTTATGAGTGCTACCAGGAAACTTTTTATATAAATGTTTCACAGATTGGCACATGGCAGGAGTCATAAAGAGCACTCAGAAATGGGAAGTATTTCTAGGGTCCTCGTTCTACACCACAGCATCACATTCAGCTACAATATTTTTGGAACTGCTTTCTGATAATAATCATTTCAGCTCATCTTTGCTAGATACAGTTTTCCTCATCAATTCCAACCTCCTCCTAAATATAGGTTGAGTTATATAATTTCATCAGTAAAAGTCTCCATGAAGCTCAATACTTCCATGGAGAAAGTAGTGTATCCCATCTAGAAGGAACATTTTATTGGATCCTCTACACAAATACTACTTATATGTTCAATTCCACCACAATTTTCTCCATCGTAGACTCTTCCTAAAAGGCTTCTGCAATGGCAGAAATTGTAATCATGTCTAATTCAATGTATGAATTGTTGTTAGCTGTGACACCAATATCAGAAGACATTGGAGTAATAAAGTTGTTGGGAATACTTAGGGTATAAAAGTATTGTTCACATTTTAAAGACATTCTTTTCCCATTGGCAAAAGTACAGGTATTCCTTGACTTACAACAGTTCATTTAGTGACCATTCAAAGTTACAACGGCACGGAAAAAAAGTGACTTATGACCATTTTTTTTCACATTTATGATTGTTGTAGCATCCTCATGGTCATGTGATTTACATTTGGATACTTAGCAACTGGTTCATATTTATGATGGTTGCAGTGTCCTGGGGTCATGTGATCAACTTTTGCGACCTTCTGCAAAGTCAAAGTCAATGCAGATTCATTTAACAACTATGTTACCAATTTAAGAACTGCAGTGATTTACTTAACAAATGTGGCAAGGTAAGTCGTAAAATGGAGCAAAACTCACTTAACAAATTTCTCACTTAGCAACAGAAATTTTAGACTCAATTATGGTCATAAGTCGAGGATTACCTGTGTAGATGAAACACATACAATAGCTAATCAGAACAAGTAACAATGACAGCCATAGTTTCCTTCTCTCTAAATCCACACACCATTTCTTATATAAGCACAAACTAAGATCTATAAAATACCTGTTTGCAATAGCCTGCTGATTCACTGAAAGAGGCATGAGGCCTACAGCTTCATAATTGCTATTTTAGCAATGTATTACATTAATAATTCATCTTGATGAACTTAGCTTGTCCATTACTATAGTCATATTCTTCTTCAATACAGAAACCTTTTATGTACAGTATCCATTTAACTTGTAATTGATAAATGAGCCAACAGCAGTAAGAAAACATTGCTATAATTTCTCTCAAATGTTTAACAAAAACATTATGGTCCATTGAAATTCTTTTGACATTGATTTGTTAATATCTAATTTTAACTTAGACAAAAAAAATATTGAAAATGGCAAAAAAAATTCTAAATGACTAAATACCACATGAGTGTATTCACAGTGATGGAGAATAAATACAAGCGATTGTAGAAATACAGGTGGTATTTTAATTTATGTGTACAACTGAAGATGCAAGTAGAAAATTTGCAATATGTGGAACTGGGTTTGATTTGATTTGATTGATTAAAGCATTATAAATTATTTCACACATATTACCTTCAAGAGACAATATAAATAAATATCATGGATACTTGAGACATTATTTCATTAGATTTCACAGATCTACCCAAACTACTTGGATAATGATGTGGAATTTTTAAACGTTGACTGGTTGTATCTCTGGTTTATATACAGTATTATTCTCATAACTAAATGAGTTCTCCCATCACCCTTAAATATTTAATTAATACTGTATATGTCACTTCAAGCTCACTGTTTGCAGAACAGTGTAGCTTTTAGAATTACAAAAGCTAATTTTTTAAAAAATCAATCTTTTTATCAAGACAGCTCCAAGTAATATTATGCTAAACTAGGTATTTTTTCCATGCATGACTTTATATTTCAATAATGAAAACTAAGGGTGAGGGATATTGACTCAGTCATTCATCATAATTCTCTGTCTTCAGGCACACACTTTTCAAATAAATCTTTTTATAAAGATTTAAACATTTTCCCAAGAACCTACCGGAGAAAAGGTCATGAATTTGAAGGCACACAGTAGTATGATCCACCAGGGTATTTTTATAATCTTAATGTTTAAATTATATTGAACTCAACTACCAGTGGGAGAGATGATCCTAGTTTTTTTATACTTCAACTGTAGGGGAATTCATACCTCCAAAAAAACCAGCTATTCAATTATAACCTTCCCTCAGAGTTCAAGATATTCTTACTTGCTTTCAAAATAGAGGCAAAAGTGCATGAAGTTTATCATTTTAAAAATATGATTAAATCATGAATCTATTCTGTTTCACAAGCACAAATCTTGGCTGAGCTCCAGAAGTTTCTTTCTGATTTCAGTTTTCCAATTAACAATGTGTGGGTGCTCACACATGTGGTATAGTATAGATAGACATATGTCTATGTGTCTGTATACATGCCAGTATGTGTGTGTGTTTGTTCAGTGAAGTTCTGCTGACATTGGGATAAAAAGATAGGTTTGTTAGGATAATGGTCCTTTAGGAGCTTGGAGAACACTTCATATCAGCATAGAGATAATATTGGGGTCTTGGCTAATGAAACTAGGGAAGAATAAAGAACATATGACTATACTACTCATTCACTTATTATGGTAGAATTGTTCTTTTAACTGAAGCCATAACTCCTTTCACAATATACTGTATTTAGGGTAGACTAGTATTTTTCTTAAGGTTCAGTTCGTAAGGTCTGTTTGATACATTAACATGGCAAGCCTTTTTCATGTAACTATAAATCAGATACAGGTACCAAAAAGAGTAAGTTTACAAGGACAGCAGCAATTGTCTGCAGCTGTCCATATTTGCAAATGGTGTCAATATATTTACTCCTTCAATAAATGGCATTATAAATTTTCTCTATTCCCTAAATTTTGTCATAATAAAAACTATTTCTTCAGAATTTGATGGAATTGTTTCACATATTATAGGATATTTATGTTTTGAGACTTCATTTATAGTTATCATTTTAAAGAATATTTTTGCTAGAAATCTTATGTATCTGATATAAAGAACTACATTACAAAATGAGCATCAAACATAACATTCTTATAATTTCAAAATTCCCTCAAACTAAAAGAAAATGTAGAGATTCAATCATAGGGATCAGGAGCATTAAGAATATAAAGAGGATATTTTAACTCCATCATAACGTCATGCTCCTTATAAACCTTCATCCCATTGCTTGAAACTTAATGCTATGTTATATCTTCATATGATAAGAGTTTTCTGAATGTCTCCTCTAATTCAAGAAAATTCAATATTAGGAGAAAAAAAGCTTTAAGAATACCAGTCAATAGGATTTTTGAGCAACTGGACAAAAAAAAAGCAGCTGTCAATTTTTTTTTTGTTCAGTAGTTTTGCTCACATTTTGGAAAGCAGATGAAACATTTATATACCATATCTAACCACGTGAAAAGCAGTAGCAAGATAAATAAGGGAATAAAATATAAAGAAGTTGAAGCTGGTTCATGCAGAAATCAGCAACCGGGAAAAACTATGCAATTGCAAAAATAACTCAATATGCAGGAGCAGGTAGTTACTGAAAGCAATTGTAGCAGCTGAGACATTAAAGAGGTATTTGATTCAAAGGGGAGTTTTTGCTTAAATGAGATTGCTGGATGAAGAGAATAGAAATGGCACTGGCTTAGCAATGAATTAGAAACAAGGAATACAAATAAGCTTGTTTACTTTCTGTCCATGTCTGAGGCTGCAGCATAATGTAAAGCTGTTCGTCCCCAGTCATCAGTTTCATTAATACTGGCCCCCGTGGTTACCAGCATCTCAATACATTGAAAATGACAATTTGCAGCTGCATAGTGCAAAGGTGTTCTGAAAAATAAATAGAAACATATTAGCCAAGGCATTACTTGAGTAACAGGATACCATTATGTTAACTGTTTCTGACAGCAACATTACTTATAGGGAGAATCCATTTCGAGGTACAACAGCAGTATTTAATTGAATGCAGAACATATTCTTTCTCTTGCAGTGAAGATTTGAAATAAGTACACAAGAAATGGTTAAGAAGTGAACAAACAAAAATGGTAGGCAGTGCTATTCAGCTAACTATAAACAAAGAATAAACCATAATAAACCACTGGTTTATTATAAAAATAAGTAAGATTTGTTACAAAGCATGGTACAGATAGATACTTAAGCTGTTGTCATTATTGTAGTTAGAAAACAAAACATTCATATAGTGTTTACTGCATGCCCAGTGAAAAATTAATGATTTAATTTTAGGGGGGGACTTTCAGAAGGTAGGGTAAGTGCATCATTTTGTCTTCCAGATGTCTAAAAGTTGCTTCATTAAAGTGGAGAAATAGAAGGAATAACTCAGAGTGACTAGAAAAAGGGTACTTTTAAAAAAAAACTCTGATTCAACTGCTTAAATAAGGACACAGATATGGCAATGGTCTCTACACTTAATTTTTTTATACTGAATTATTATTTCTGGGCAGCCATATAGATGAATTCTGGTGCAAAATAATATAGAACTAAACTATTTAAATCTTACTAGGAAAGGGGAAAGAATATACCATTGATATAGCATGCACCTGTCTCTTTTGGGATTACACTTTGGACAGGAAGGGTTTATTTCACTTCACCTAGTTGGTATAGTAAAAGTAAATTTATTATTGCTGTGCTGTTATTATACAATCTCAAATTTTACTTTTACTTTGAGGAGAGGAGAGGGAGGAGGAGGAGGAGGAGGAGAAAGGAAAGGAAAGGAAAGGTTAGGACTAGTTAACCTACATCCTTGAATGGATTCCCAGTCTGGAAGCAACCTCTTTCTCTGTTGCCAAACAGAGATCTCCTGCATTATCAGTCAAAAGATACAGTGCAAACATTGTATTTTTGTTCTCCCTGAAAGATTTCCTCAGAATAAAAGATGACAGAAAAATGATGGGAAAAGACAAGAGGATTACACACTGAGATTACACACATCTGAATTTAGTGTTAATCCCACAAATGAAGAAGGATAAGCAACTGAGCAATAGCAACCTTGTCTGAAATCCTATGTGATATTCTTGAACTTGCCAGAAAATCATTGGTATTAAGAATTGTACTACATGTTTTCCAAAGATGAGTTTGGCAGCCAAGCATGAGCTCCTCTTAATCCTGCTCAATTAATTCCAGTATCATGAAACTAAGATCTAGATTTCCACATTGATTTTTGAAGTTTTTGTAAGTTACAAACCTTCCATATTTGTCTTTTTTATTTACATCTGCTCCACTGCTCTGCAAGAGTTTCACACACTCAACATTGCTGAAAAGATACAGAAAGAAAAGAATGCATAAATAAAATAAAATAGTGCTGATGAGAAAAAAAAGTCTAAAGTTAAAAATAATAATGGTTAACCATTCAAGAACTGGGAAGAACAAACTACAAGATAAAATATGAGTAAAACACTAACAATTAGCCCTTCATGACATGGGTCCAGGTTACTTCAGGGATTGGCCCACCCACCCGTGCAGGCAGAGGAGGCATGCTGCAGGCCCTGTCAGCCAGGGAATTCCAGTTGGTGGGGTCCAGGAGAAGAGCCTGCCCTTTCTAACATCTCTCCCTTTGGAATGAGATCAGTTCCCATCCTCCTGACCTTCACGCAAGATTTGAAGACCTGGTTCTGCCAGTTGGCCAATAGAGCAACATCACACTGCAGGTGGTTGATAGATTAATAACAGATCCCACTTCTCCCCCACTCGTCCTACGCCCTTCCTCCCTCCCCATCTTTTAGTTGTAGCTAATTTATATTTTTATAGCGTTTTATTCTTATTGGATGAATGTTGTTGCATTGTTTTTCTTTTTCTTTTTATCACTGTAAGTCACCCAGAGTCACCTCACGGTAAGATGGGCATCAAACAAATTTAATAAATAAAATGAAATTAAGTGAAAAAAACAGCGTGTAAGCACTGTTCCTCAAACTCTAAAACAACATTTGTGTTGGTTAGCATGAATAGGAATTATTCCCAAAGCCTTTATCGGAATGTACCAATGCTCATTTTAGGTGACAATGCAATCAGCCCTTGGAAAATAAGGATTCAGAATTCACACCTGCATATATGAGCTTCTGACTTGGGCATTACAAATCTAATCAAGCATTTCCCAAGGAAACAATCATGTGAAAATTTCCAAACAGGAATCCCAATATTGTGTCTTAACTGTTATCTGTACAAGGTTAAAAAGTATTTGACTCAAAATTGAGAGCAGCTTCTAAATTTATGTACCAGCCCTGCACTATTAAAAACAGAAGTCTTGCTTCACTTATTAAGGTAGACTTGCTAATTTCTAATTAATCTCTTCAAAAGCTTTATCAGCCGTAAAACTATATGTTGTAAAAGTATCAAAAATGATATGATAGAAGCATACTAAATACATAATCCCTGTGGCTTTTTGAGAATCTTAAAATTGGCAAAAAAAAACTTCTCCAGTGGGATGAACTTGCACACCACAGTAAAAATTTGTATAGCATATTATTATTTAATTTAACTCTCTGGAAAAAATATTTTATTACTGTATTTTATTTTATAATTTTTTTATTTTTGCTATATATTGAAAGAGCAACAGTTTCAATGTCTATATAAACAGTGTATTGTCTGGTTACAGTTAGTTTGAACAATAATCATAATCATAATAAAATTCATTAGTAGTCATATAATAACAATGTTTTCTCATCATAATATTAATTCTTGTTAATTCTTGATGCTAATTAATATTAATAATAAACATATCATAATAAGCCTTCATAGTAAACTTAATCCTTCTCTTATAATTTTACACATTCTAACTTCTGATTCTATTAGTTAACCATTGATAAAAGAATCCCATATTTCAAAATATTCTGTGTCTTCCTTCTCTTTAATTTCAAGTGTTAATCTATCCATTTCTGCACATTCTAGTATTTTTGTATTATCTTCTCTTCTGTAGGGATCTCCATACGTTTCCAATGTTGTGCAAATACAATTCTAGCCGCTGATAACACATGTAGTATTAGATACTTAGTCCCTTTATTATATTTTTCTGGTATGATACTTAACAGAAATATTTCTGGTTTTAGATCTATATGTTCCTTTATCATCTTTTTCTATCCAAGTATGTATTTTTGTTCCAGTATGTTTTTGCCTTTGGGCACGTCCACCACATGTGGTAATACAAGCCCAGAATCTGATTACACTTCCAACATTTAGCAGACACATCTTAGCTAATCTTGCTGTTGGGAAGTACCATCTGTTAAACATTTTGTATAAGTTTTCTTTGTATTTCTTCTTTGTATTTTTATGACTAGCTAAATATTGACTCACTGCAATACTCAAACATTCTAACTTTTGTCCTCTCTGTGATACAGTGGTATGAATGTTAGCAAGTGCAAAAGTAAAGACATTCCAAAAATAATCTGAGTGTATTTAAACCAGTAGTGTAAATGCTTAACTTCATTGTCACTACTCACTGCACATTCAGAACTGATTGAACATAATGGATGCTGAGTTGTTTTGCTTGAAACAATGGAGTAGCTACTTAATAAAAATTAATAATTTGTGGACATACAACTGTCAAGGTTGCTATGACAGTAAAGCCCTTTATTTTTAAGACAAGAATCCATCATGTGTTAGATCAGCCTTCTCTAACCTGGCACCTTCCAGATACATTCAGGTTTCCAAACAGAATGGTCTTTTTATTTAAAAAAAAACAGTACTTAAATCTCATAGATAGATGCAACATAAGCAAATCTGTCTACTTAAAAGAACACTTCACCAAAGTTCAGAGGAGCTTAGTTCTAGTTAAATACATTTAGCAATATAACCCTAGAAACAGCTGTTAGTAGTTCACAGCTGAATCTTAACATCTTAATGTTTAGCATTTTTATTTATTATATATGTGTTATATTTTGATCTGGTCTTTATTAGTTATAACTCAAGGCAGCAAAAATACATAACACTCCTTTCTCCTCCTCCTTTCTCCATAACAGCAACCTTGTGGGAGACAGTGACTGGCTGGCCTGAAGTGTCCCAGTTGGGTTTCATGCCTAAAGTGGGACTAGAATCAGTTCCCTGATTTCTAGGCCAGTACCTTAACTGTTACAACAAACTGGTCCTCTCATGTGGCCAGCATATAAAAGCTCCACTTTAGAGGAGTCCTAGTTATGCTTACCGCAATGAAAGCAAGGCAGAAGTAGGAAGGAGCTGGCCTGCAGCTGCAATACCTTGTTTCCTTTCCATGTATGGAAGGATATGTCTTGCTGAATAGCTCAAGGAAGGAAGTCCCTTAGTCTCACTATTCTTTCTGTCCTGGCTAGAGAAGTAGACATTTTACTTTGATCCTTCCCAGATCTACTGAGATTGCTCTGTTCTCTATTACCATACCAGTCATGTTCAGAATTATGATACATACCTTTAAAGAATCTTTTTCCCCTGAATCTTTAGACAATTCTTAGTTAAAAACGTGAATAACAAGAGCATTCTTTTTAAATTTAATTTAATTTCATTTAGACAGAAAGAACCACTGCACTCAATTCAGTTTAACACTGCTTAATTTGTTCAAGACCCCTTTGACATGAAGTTATCCTGCACACAGCCTACTGTGATGAATGGGAACAACATAGAAAGACCCCCCCCCCAAAAAAGCACAACTTTGGATCATTTCAATACATTTTTAAAGTGCAAGAGGACATTCTGCTGAGAAATGTCTTGAATGAGCTAAGAAACCTTGAAATAAATTTGATGCATTGGCTATTTCAAGTTGTAACTAAAGGAATTAAGTTCATATTCTTCTTCAGTTAAGCTCTTGGCTGGAAGAACTGTGTTACTGTGCAGTCCATGAAGTCTGTGGACTGCTTTTCCCTCTCTCATCCCTTAAAACAAGTCTTCAGATGGATAAATTTTAGAATGGTAGAGTGAACCCTTTCCTTTTTATAGCTTGTCTTTGATACAAGGGAAGGCGCACTCTATTAAAAGGGGTGATCTGGCTGATGGACTATGAGTGTTTATTTTCTTTCCTGTCTGGCAACTCTGTTTTCCAGGACAGTAATTTACAATTTGGCCTATATTAAAAAACAAAGTATGGGCTTGTCTGGTCTAGCCTGAATGTGCAAGGAAGAGAAATTCTACCCATTTAGGAGAGAAAGTAAACAAACCTAGAATATAACTTTTGTTCTTGAATGCATGTCCATTTTGGGTGTTTGTGTGTATGTTTGCATTTATTGCTATCTGACTAATTCAAATTTGCAAGTGTAGAAATCTGTCCCTGTCTTGCTTTTTCTTTATGGCACAGCAGCCAATTCCTTGCAATACACTGGAATGGCAACCCTTGTTTCTGGGTAAGGGGAAATCTGCCTTATTAAATGTTAAAGAGAAATGGCCCTAGGCCTTGGGAAGGATTGCACAATGCCCCCATGTGTCAGTGGATAAAAAAGGGCAAAAGAGAAGTGACTCAATTTGGGCCTCATATCTCTTCTTTTGCACTGTTCCCATAATACTTGGCCTGTCAAAGCATTTTATGCAACAGCCAGATCCACCATTGATTTGTAAAGATTCATCTTTACAGATGGGGTTTTCAGCATGATAAACTGCAGTGCTTGTGTGATGGGTTCGGAATACAATGACCAAAAAAGGAAGAAAAAACAGTTGAGGGCAAGGAAGCCTAGCCTGTGATAGGGCAACAGTAGTATTTACTTAACTGAAGTAAAACAAGCATAGTTTGTCATGTGTAAAAAGAGGTTTTTTTTTCCCTAAAGTGAGGTTTGCGTGTGTGTGTATGTGCATGCACTCATGCATTCCACACAAAACAGGGGCCTCATAAATTACAGTAGTTTTTGTGTCATTTTGCTGTTTCTCTTTGGGAAAAATAATTGCAGAGAAACCACAGAGCTAAAGTTACATATATCTATTGCAGTTGTAATTTCAAAACTACTTACCCTCCTGCAGCAGCAGCATGGAGGCACGTCCTTCCAAATTTATCTGGGGTGTCTATATCAAAGCCTGCAGACAGCACGTGCTCATTACTAAACAAGGACACTATGCTATACTTTTGTCCTAGTTAAACCGCAAGAAACATTGCAGAGACAGAAAAATCAGTTAGTCAGAAAAAAAAATCAGAATGAAGACACAACTGTAGTCAGCAAGAGGTTGTTATGGAAACGGACAGTGGCTGTTCAAGCTTGGCCACTACAGAAAAAAAAAAGAACCATAAAGTCAAAAATAATCTATTTTCACATCCACCCCATTTTTATTGAAGTATTTAAATCATGCAGCAGGCATTTCAGGAGGAGACTTTCAAGAGAAGTGACAGCAGGCATGAAGGCAGAAAGCTCTGTGAGGAAAATGAGGAAGTCACAAGAATTGCTTCAGCATACATCAAAGAGAGTTTTTATTTACTAATGGCTTCAATTTTGCACAGAAACAGGAAATAATCACTATCTAGAGAAGGACAGATATTTTGTATGGAGAAGAACACATTTTACTGTAGCAAGAACCTAACAAAATCCACAATTAAGGAAGGGGTGGATCATCTCTGTGAAATTGCAAAAAAGGAAAAATGATTATCATTTCTCTTAAGGCAACAGACAGTAGTTCACAAGGATGTCAAATTGACTTGTGTCTGCTTCTTATCTGCATTATCCCCATCACATTCCTTCACCAGAAATCTGGGGTGGGGGGGTGGGGGGGTTCTGCCATAGAGAGATGGAGCAATGGAAAATTGTTTGAAATGACTAATTAAAAAAAGAATTGAGCCTTGCTTAAGATGTTCTATAGCTCTGAAATTAGATTTAATGTTTGCTTAGTATAATGATGGTGACAAAGATAACAAATTAAGAGATTAAAGAGAGTCATCATAGCTCTCCCACACTTCTGCAATCTTATCCACTCAGAGCATACAACTACTGTAATATTGGGCATTTGAAAATACAATCAATGACTATCTTACTAACATATCTAAAAATGTAAAAGCAGCTTCCATTATCCTTCCTTTGCCATACTGTACTGATTTTAACCTTAATGGACAAAATAACAGATACTTCCTCTACAGAAAGGCCTACTGGTAGTTGGTAGGTCAAAGCAAGGGACAGCTGCTTCACTAATTTTGGAGAGCAAGTAGTTAGGCACTTGGAATAGCCCATATAATGGGAAATGATATTCCAAAATCAAAGACTAACATTGGTTTTGGATAGTGAAAACAGCCATTAGTTCTGATGCCTCTCTTCTTGTTCATCAATAACGGTGATGAAAAATTGCACATAGGGTCCCTGAGCATTGCTTGCTGTAAGTTTGGTCCTCCCATACAGTTGAATTAAATTTTTCTAATTTATGACATCAAAAATGTTTATGAGACAAAAAATAATTGTATGTAGCCTCCTTTAATCTAGTTTATTTCTCTAGGACTACAGAGTGTCATTCAAGTCAATAATAAAAACCAAGTGACATTGAAATTAGAAATTTAAAATAAGATTAAACTCTCAACAAAGGATATTGTAACAAAACAAATGAAGGCTACAAAAGGGGACAAGCTGATCTCCTGTTTAAACAATGCATTACATTTTTATCATGTATCTGGGAACCAAAAAGGGAAAAGCCTTACATATGACTACTCTAAGACAGGGGTTGCCAACCTTTTGGACCTCAGGGACCACCAAACTCATAATTTTAAATCCCAGGACCACTAACCGGTTCTGTGGGTGTGGCCTAATTTGTGGGTGTGGTTTGGTGATCATGTGACTGGCTGGGCATAGCTTGTATGTAAATATTATAAATATTTATATAAATATTGAATTTTTTATAAAAAAGAGAAACTTTTACCCAAAATCAGGCAAAGCAGGCAGGCAGATTGAGTTGCTCAGAGAATCATTCAGTGATCTATCTATCTGCCATCGGCTACCTGAGTCTGTCACATAAAATTTGCTTGTCCTGAGTCTGCACTGAATAATAGAATCTTCAGTCCTAAGGGAAGTTCGGATGTGCTTAAAAGCAGAGCCGAAGATCGAAAGACTAGCTAGAAAGCAAGAAATCCAACCCTTTCCTGCTTCCTAGCTAATCTAAATCTCCTGGCACAGCAGAACAGATGATGGTCAGAAAAAGAAAAAATAGCAACTTAGCAGGCAAGTTTGCAGGGTAAGGAGTGAGTGGGCGGGGAGGGTTCCCGCGGGCCATGTGGGCGGCGCAGCCTTGTGTTTCTGTGCAGCTTGGATTAATTGCTTTGGGGGGAGTGCTCTGGGGGTGAGATTTCTTTGTGGCCCGCCAAAATTTTCTCACGGCCCACCAATGGGCCACAGCCCACCGATGGGCGACTGATGCTCTAAGATATATTCTATTGGCTTATTATTAAACTAGATTTGTTGAGAATTCTAGTTTATTAAAGGTAACAGTAAAGCAAGCTAGTTCATTCTTCACATATATTTCTATCTTGAAACCTATAAGCTAGAATGGAAAAATAATCAGAAACATACCAGCCATAGAAAGCTTACCATTGGTGGTGAAATTTGCAAATCCTCTAACAAGCCATAAATGTAAATAAATTATGAGTCCTCTCAAACTTTGCAATTTGGGTTTGGATGTAAAGTTAACCTTATTTTGACTGACAGAAGTCATTGTCATTTGCTTGAGATAAGCAGCAGCTGGGGATTTAGTAAATTCCTGATGGTGAGAAGAACTAAGAACCAAAATTAACAGAAACCTGGTTTACACTGTGGCAAATTATTGAGAAAGAACCAGCTTATTGCCAGGTAATCAGGTGGTTGTTTCATAAACAAAAAAGCTCCTTTGATTCACAGAAAGGATTTCAGTTTAATAAAGGCTTCTTCAATGTTGCAGTGATGTTCCTCTACACACAATCAAGATCCATAGAGTTGCTCTCCACCTTGTCCACCCTGCCTGTAGATTTTGCAAGGTTCCACAGATAGAACAGCAAATGACAAAAATCACTCTCTCTTTTCCTACAGAAATAGTATAGTACCGGATGTATCACACGCTGGCCACACCCATGTGGGGGAGGAAATTCCGATGTGTCATGTGATGTTGCTATGACGACATGAGTTTGACACCCTTACTATAACCAGTGCTCAAATGACCATTCTCTATGTTCATTAAAGAAGGGGACAGCATTCAGCATGCTTTAAACACAGACAATGCATAAAACAGGATTGTGCATACATTCAAATTGGAACACACAGATTTGCACATATAAGTGTACAATAGAAACAAAATATAAGGCCTTCAGTTTCTAAGTATGTGGACATACATTAGTGACCCATAACCAGCTCATTCATGAGGTTAGTTTTCAATTCTCTTTTGCCTTTGCTTACCTGATGAAAGCAATTTCCTACAGCAGTCAGCATGTGCATTAAGTGCTGCCAAGTGTAAAGGAAACATGCGATGAATGCCACATCTGCAAAACAAACAAACCTCTAATATAAACATTTCTTTAAATAAAGTATGTAGACCCTTCTCTCTGTATATATCTCTCTTAAATCTATTTGCTATAGGGAATTTTGGTTTATTTCAGAGTGATAAGATGGCAATATGTTTTTAGTGATACATGGTAAAGCTTTACAAAAATTTCCTACTTACTAAATAACAATCCCTTCCAGAAACAATTTGTAATCTCCCTGTCATACAAATATGTTATCAGACAGATTGTAAAAGTACAGGAATAATCTATTGGGATTCATTAGAACAATTTATTACACAATGTCCAGGCTACGTCTTAGAAATTTCCTATATTAATATAAATAGGTCAAATTTAGTTATTTATTCCTTCATCCCCCTACACATAATTATCTCAGATAATGCCCTTTGACTTTACTTCTTCAAGCATTCTATTTGCAAAGCTTCTGCTTCTGGATGCCAATCTGGAAGGACACAAAATGATCTTGACAAAGAACAATTCATATTTTCATTTTAGGTCCCAGATATATTATTATCCCATCCTGTCATTGATGTCTATCTAATGATTCCAAGTTGGATTCTCACTTCACTGGACATCACAGGAACTGACAGAGGTGTTTTATTTGATCAACATACAAGTAATTGAAGCATGAAATAGAAATTTTGAGCGGATAACCTGGATTGCTGAACCCTTTTCTCTCACATGTTCATTTCTATCTTCAGCAGTTAGAAAAGGAATGGATTAAAATTCATATCGGAATAAGCCCCAAATATTGTAGATTGTACCCTTCTAAACCTTCTTTCTGTATCTAAACAAATAATGACAGTTTATGGTACGAGAAAGAAAATATAGCAATAGTTCTGAGTTGTACAGTCCAATCATATTATAATATTAGGCATAGAAATGGTAAAGGTTGAAATATAAATATATTAATTACAACTGTAAACAATTTATTGATCCTGTCTTGCTATGGACTTTAGTCAAAGCTATTGGTGTCACACAGAATTAATGGTTTTAACAAATTAAAAAGGGTCCAGCAACCATTAATCCACCTTAAATAGTTACAAAATATTATCAACTATTGCTAAGTAGGCCATCTTCCCAATCCAAAGTTAAAGTCTAAAATGAATGATATAATTTTACAATTTGGAGTATTAAGTCTTCAGCATCTTACTTGGCAGCATCAGCTCCACAGGTTATTAAGGTATTAATCAAAAGTTCATGTCCATATCTTGCAGCCACATGGAGTGGAGTGTTGCCATCTTTATCAACACAGTCAATTTCACCTCCTGGATATGTCATTTGAATATGAAAATATTATGTAAGGATCAAGTGCAATTTAATGAAAAAACTAACACATTAGTTGCAAGGAGTAGAGAGTTTCATCCGTACAGCCAGTAGATGTATTACAATATATATACAATATTTACAATATATTTGAGACAGAAATATGAAAACATTAGCAATAAATTTATTGAATTAGTATACCATATATTACTAATCAAAAAAATTGTATACTATTAGATCTAGTGCTATATATCCTGAAAGGGCAACCAAAGTACATAAAATTATTACCATACAACTTTGATACTGGTACATAAAAACTGCTAACAAACCTTAACAAACTATAATTTCACACAAATAGAACACATTATGACTTAATATGATGGCCTGATCACCATAACACATTTAAGGCTGGGTTCATTTCAGGTTGGGTTCCCTGAACATTAGGAACTACAAAGTACCAAATTCCATCAATCAAGGCCTTGACCAATTCAAAAAGAAGAAAATAAGACAATTCTATCAGGTGAAAAGCTGTGGCATTTTAATTTCTCATACAATATCTTACTTAAATGAAAAAAAAACAAACTATCAATTGAAATCAATAGTGCCAAGACAAAAGGGCAGGGGTGGAATACTACCGGTTCTCATCTATTTGCTAGAATCTCTTGTTAACTTTCTAAGCAGTTTGGAGAACCGGTTGTTGGAAGAAATCTCCTTTTGTTTTTTCCACTTTACAGGGCTAATCCTGTAAGGAAGGCAGGAAGGAAACATTCTGGTGTTGTTTCTTCTAGCCTAATCTTTATTGCCCTGATTACAGAAATTGCCTCTCCATTAACCCTTATTACATTCTTGGCAGTACGCCTAGACTTCCTGTCGCCTGAGCTCCGGAGGTTTTTTTCTTTGCTGGTACTTTGCTGGGGCTTGATTTCTTAAAAGGGAAGGGTTGTTTTAAACTTTTTACACTGATGTTGGGAGGAAATACTCCCCTGGAAATACTTCCAGCCGGGATGCAATGATCAGCACTTTGAAGAAATAATTGAATAATGAAGCAGAGCTGCCAGAAAGAAGCTTTTAATGACAAGGAACCAAGATGAGTGACATTTAGCAAGCCTTCTTGGCTAGCTAGAAAGATTGACATTCAAACGTGAGTTTACATACCTTTTCTGAGTTTCGGTCTAAATGGTTTTTGGTGAAGTTTAATTCTGTGCTTGGTCACGTTTAATCCTGTGTTTATTGATGGGATAATTTTAATCTCTGTTCCTGAAAAGCAACTGGGTTGAGAAATCTGGCTAGTTCCTGTGTCTATTTGTTCTGGTAATTGGTTTAATGATCAACAGCTACTGTTGTGATTTAATTATTTGTATTGGGTTTGAATTTTTTTCTGCCTCATGGTTTCTTTTTCTATCTGGGGAGGGGGGTCTTCCTTCCTTTAGTGGTTCCTCTAGTTTACCAAGTTATGTAAATTTGACAAATAAGTTAGTTCATCTTCAGAATTTCTCATGAATTTTTATGTTTGCTTTTCTTTCTTTCTTTTTTTGCTAACATTTTGCTAATGAAATTCAGAAATTCATTAATCTGCTTCTGGGTTGCTAGTATTTCTACTGCTTTGTCAGTTATACTTAAACTATAATGAGATTACTGTATTTTTATTACACAATTCAGTTTGACATCAAACTGAAGAAAGATTTTAAGCAGGGAGCTATAGGTCCATGCCATCCTTAATATTTTTATAATTAAAAATATTACTAAAACTAAGAAAATTATTTAGTCCTTATGGATTAGTATAAGAGGCCTTTTTTTAAAAAAGGTGAGTTCAGATTTCTGATATGAGCAACCTGTTCCTTTTCTGAACAGAACAGGATGACAAAAAAGGTGACAAAAAGAATCAGAAAGACAGAGAAATTATCTCCCACCCAGGGTGTTTGATGTAGGTTTTCTGGGTCATTCATAGTAATAAACTATATAGTGGACTAAATTCTCACTGTGATTTTGTGGTTGTATTTCCTTTTAAACCGATATCCATGCATATACGTATGCATATCTACAACATATGCCAAATATATATTTTCTGTTTCTACAATTTCCCCATATTTCTTACCTGATTAAGGTAATTTCATTGATCAATACCAAACCTAAACATGCTGCAAAATTCTTATTTAGATTTAAGAAAATAGATATCTAGGTTTTTATTTAAAAGTCATTTCCTTGGTAAAAGGCAGTAGATATTATTAGAACTTAGGGCTAAAACTGTTTCCAGCTTGTACTATCTTTCTGATAATTCATCATACTAACAGCTTGGACAGCATTCAAGTAGAAACAAAGACTTTCTTAATGAGAACATCGTGACCTGGAATAAACCTTATTAATGATATGATGGCAAATGGAGAGAATTCAGGGCAGTACTATGCAAAACCTGCATATGCCAGAATTTTTAGTTTCGCTAAAAATATTTTTCTAGTATTTTCCTGACTTTACAGCCTAAGATTTCTATATGCACCACATTCATTTTGGCAACTTTGTCAGAGATGAACCAACATATAAGCTTAATCATGAAAACTTCTGCACATAACAGCGCAATCAAGAAATAGTAGTTTTACACCAGATTTATGGATATTCCAACTGTGCCCTGTTTACTGTATATCTTCTTTGGAGATGTCCTGCAACAGTCTGCAAACTCAATGAATGTTAAAAAATAACAAAAAACTAAAAATGCCTATCCTAACCCTAACCTTATAGACATTATTCTCTCCTCCCTCTATCTAGTGAGTCTTTGATAATTTCTAGAAGGGTTGCTAATTTTTGCTCAATTGCCATTGCTGTGGTTTACTATTTTACCCTGCTGATGTCTTAATTAAGTATAGTTTCTAGTTAAGTTCATTTTACTATTTATGATTTCTCTTCCTAGTCATTTCAGTTGTCTCTGACTATAAATAAAGAAATAAATAAATTACAAAAATGTTTAAATAGTTCTATTTTTTACTCATGCTTCTTTTGGACTGTATATCCAAAAGAAATAAAATATACAATTGTTCATTTTCTAAAAAGATTAAAGATTAAAACTTGACAAAATTAGTAAAGATGCTTTCAAATGATACAATAGTAAAAATAGTAGCTTACCATTCTGAATGAGAGTTTGTGACCGTGTAAACCTCCCATGGACAGCTGTCATATGCAGTGGGCTTTTTCCGTCTTTGCTCTGTCAAACAAAAAAAACCAAACATAGGACAGATCACACCTATTGGTCGTGAAGTGCCTATTTCCTTTAAGGTGCTCTTGATGTACCACGTTTAGATATAAAATGGCAAAATTGGACACTTCCTAAATATACAGAAAGAAGGATGTTTCTCAATTAAAATAATATTCAAAGCACCTTAACATTTATGGCTTGGTGAGCTTCTAAGACTTTATAGAACAGAGTAAGATTTTTTTACATTGTGTTTGCCTGTTGATCAGGCCTTTGGGAATTTTTTAAATAAATAACTGGGTTCATGTTCTGAAAACATTTAAAATATAGAGCATAGATGCATAAGAAGAAATTAACATACTCCTCTAAGAAGAGACAGCATAGCAGTAGCCTAGTGAATCACATTCCCTCCCCCACAAAATATCTTAGTTTTTCTCCCCAATTCTAAATTATCTAGTGATATTAAAACAAAAAGATTCAGGGATGGTTGTCAACCTTCTAAGTAATATCGCAAGAAAAGGTGGGGAAGAAGAAATATATGCCTCCATTTTTAGACTACAGTATTGTAGCTAGAAGTAATCCTGTAAAGGGATGGAGTGAGAAAGGAACATTTTGTTTCTGATCCCATTTGTGATATATAGAATACCTATAACGGGCAAGATGTGTCTACATGTTTAATGATGGCAGTATCTTAAGAGAAGCTGAACAGCCTTTGATTTCAATTCTTCACCTCTGAACCGTGTGAAGGACACTGCCTCATTTTTCTTTGTTCTCCATGTAAACTCATATCTATTTATTATTCACCTATTAAATTTATAAGCTGCCTATCTTGCTGTCCAGAGCGACTTTAATGTAACAGTTATCCATTCCAAGTGATTTTTGCATAAAAATGTCTGAATTAGAAAGTTAAAAATTCAATAGTCATGATTTTTTTTCCTTCAATAGTCATGCCTCCCATACTGTTCAGAAAAGAAATGTACTTTATATTTAACAGGCATACCGCAAAGCTCAGCATTTAAATGTGTAGGTGTAACACGTAATCTTCACTTACCTGATCTCCCTTCCATTTATCTGCTGTTTAAATGGAAATCAAAAGGAAGAGATGTGAAACCTATAATTTTACCTGAATGTTTACATCTGCCCCATTATTCACAAGTAGTTCCAGACAAAGGGCCCCGTGAGTAGAAGCAGCAGCAAAATGGAGGGGAGTGAATCCACTGTTATTAGGCTGATTGACATTAGCTCCGTAGTCTATCAGCTCATTAGCCACAGAATCCTGCCCATTATAACAAGCAATATGAAGGGCAGTATTTCCATAGACGTTCATTTCATCAATCTGCAACATCAAAATCAAGGCATTAGTTTTGTCTAGCTCATACCTTGTTGTGTGTTATTCCATTTTTTTATTATTGTATCAGAATATAAAATACAAAGGATAATGAAAATAATGGGAAACTAGGGAGGAAAAGGGGAAGAGGAGAGAGTGTGGGGTAGAAGAGGAAAAAGAAAAAAAGTGCTGATTTCCGGCTCTTTTTAGCACATTGTTTGTTGACTTAACTAGAAAATTGCAGGACATGGTTTGTTATTAATTAACAAAATATAATCTGTTATAACTATAAAATACTAACTATGGCATATGAGTGTGTAAAAGAAAAAGAGGTTTTAGTAAGGATAAAGTGGTTTTTAATATTTCAAATAGAAGATAATGCATTTCTTCAAGAAAAAATTGTATCATACAACAAAAGGTCTAAATATCATACTGCTACATAAAACAACATATGAAAAAAATTTCAACTTAATGATTTCCCTCCTGTGGCTACAAAATTAATCATTCAATTTTATGAATAAAGCAAAAAAAAAAAATGTTATACACTCCAGAAGGGTGTGTGCTCCTGAACTTGTTCTTATAATATTGATATCAAACTCTGAGATTAGGAGAATTATCATCCAACAAACAAAACAGTGGAAATGTGGCCGTTCATTTAAAGCAGCCCTGGAAGAAGCTGAATGAGATTATTTTAATTTGGATTGGAGGGGGGGAGGTAATAGGAACTTGCAGAACTATGGGCCCATTCTAAAAATATATTTTATATAGTATGAAGAATGTAAACTTTTGACTTTTTAAAGCACAATCCTGGGAAAATATGTTGTCACTAAAAGAGAGGCAGATACTTTTACTGCATTTCCACTTCAGCACTCTGTTCCAACTCTATTAGTGTTGTTCCAAAGGAAATATGGCTGGTCCCCATATTTCCTCATGTAGTCTTCTTTAAGACAATGTTGGAATTTTTGCTCTAACATTTAAAGACTAATTCCAGGGCCTGGCTGCTTTTTTACTTCATTTTAAAATAAATTTTAATTTATATTAAAATTAAATATAATTTAATTTTTAATTTAAATATAATTTAATTATATTTAAATTATAAATTATTTAAATTATTTAAATTAAATTAAATTTAAATTATTTAAATTATATTTAAATTATATTTAAATATAATTTAATTATATTTAATTAAATATAATTTAGGTGGTGTTGCTATCTTCTATAAAAAATCCTTACATCTAAAAAATATCCAAGTTACCCAGGAGCTTGCTCTTCCTGAGACCATCATCTGTGAACTATCCTTAAATATCACAATTCGATTCTTACTATGTTACAGAGCACCTGATTATGACATCGAACATGTAAACAAACTAAATACATTACTAACATGGGCTGCATCCTGCCCATACCCTTTTATCTTTCTTGATGATTTCAATCTACCTCATATTGACTGGACCCTAAATGATTGTACAACTGAAATCATACACACAACCTTCTACAATGCTATTACAAATCTGGGACTGGAACAACTAGTAACCAACAACACTAGACTAAACAACTGCCTCGATCTCATCTTCTGCAATAGTTTGAATTTAATTTACGGAATACAAACTAAAGAACCCTTTTCCAGTAGTGACCACAATATGATTGACTTTTGTCTCAACATACGTCCACACAAAAATCACCACAATGATGTAATTCCCAATTGTAACTTCAAAAAAGGCAACTATGATCTTATACACAACGATCTCTCATCCCTTGATTGGCAATCTCTATTCACTGGATGCAATACTGTTGAAGACCATTACAACATATTTTTACTTGAAGTCAAAAGAGTCATCAAACTATATGTACCAACAACAACTCCCAAAACAAAACAAAAAAGCAGATTACCCATATCAATAAGGAAACTTCAATCCAAAAAGAGATCACTCTGGCGGAAAAACAAATCTGGTCACGTTGCCAATTTCAAAAACTGATACAAAAATTTATGCCACCAGATAAAGACCGAATGCACCAATTATCACATTAAACAAGAGGAAAACCTTCTAAGCACCAATTCCACCCGTGCTTTTTACAATTTTGTAAACAACAAACTAAAAGACTCAAGGTCCATCCCTCCCTTGATAGGACCTGATGGTAAAGACTGCAACGACGACACCATTAAAGCCAACATCTTTAACACATTCTTCGGCTCAGTATTTGTAAACAGCAATGGATCATGCCCAGTATTTCCTAGCCGTACCACAGATAACAACAATGATCTAATACATATCGATTTCACAGAAGACAATGTTGAAAAAGCACTACGCAACCTAAAACCATCTCTATCTATTGGACCGGATGGAATATGTGCCTACTTCTTAAGAAAGCTATCCACTGCCATAGCCAAACCTCTAAGCATAATCTTTGAAAAATCTTTCAGAACCAGCTCCTTGCCTAACCTATGGTCACAAGCCACAGTCATCCCCATCTTCAAAAAGGGAGACCCAAGCCTAGTTGAAAATTACAGGCCAATCTCCTTATGCTGCGTCACCTGTAAAGTCATGGAATCAATTATTAACCAATCCATCATCCTTCACTTAGAGACAAATAACCTACTCTCCAATAAACAATTTGGTTTCAGAAAAAAACTATCCTGTAATCTGCAACTCTTACACTGCAAAAACATATGGACGACACAACTCGACCAGGGCAAAGCAATAGACGCAATCTACATAGACTTCTGTAAAGCCTTTGATTCAGTGGTACACGACAAACTACTCCTAAAAATAAAATCCTATGGTATCTCTGGACAACTGAATAACTGGATAGAAGCATTCCTGTCAAACAGACAACAAATGGTCAAAATCGGGAGCGTACTATCAAATCCAGTACCTGTCAATAGTGGTGTTCCCCAAGGCAGTGTTCTAGGACCAACTCTCTTCATACTCTACATAAACGACCTCTGTGATCATATTAAGAGCAATTGCGTTCTCTTCGCTGATGATGTAAAGCTGTTCAATACCACAGACAATACTGCTACCCTACAAAAAGATCTTGACTATGTATCAGAGTGGTCAAACAAATGGCAACTTCAAATCTCAACAAATAAATGCTCTGTCTTACATATTGGCAAAAAAAATCAGAAAATAAAATACAAGCTGAATAGTCAAGATCTTGTTGATGACTCAAGCTCTGTAAAGGACCTTGGAATACTCACCTCTAATGATCTAAGTGCTAGAGCCCACTGCAACTACATAGCCAAAAAGGCATTAAGAGTTGTTAACCTAATCCTACGTAGCTTTTTCTCTGGTAATATCACACTACTAACCAGAGCATACAAAACATTTGCTAGACCAATACTCGAATACAGTTCATCAGTCTGGAACCCTCATTACGTATCTGATATTAGCACAATTGAGAAAGTCCAGAAATATTTCACAAGAAGAGTTCTCCACTCCTCTACTCGTTGTAGAATACCTTATGCCACCAGACTTGAAATTCTAGAACTTGAAAACCTTGAATTACGCCGTCTTCGGTCTGACTTAAGCATGGTATATAAAATCATACATTGCAATGTCCTACCTGTCAATGAATACTTCAGCTTCAACCATAACAACACAAGAGCACACAATAGATACAAACTCAAAGTTAACCGCACCAAACTTGATTGCAGGAAATACGACTTCAGCAATAGAGTGGTCAATGTCTGGAATACTCTACCCGACTCTGTAGTTTCTTCCCCAAACCCCAAAAACTTTAACCTTAGACTGTCTACTATTGACCCTTTCCTAAGAGGCCTGTAGGGGGCGTGCATAAGCGCACCAACGTGCCTACCGTCCCTGTCCTATTGTTTCTCTTATTCTTTTATTTTTCTTATATGTACCCATTTCATGTATTCACAACTATGTATACATTTATACTTATTATCTTGTAAACAATTGGCAAATCAAATAAATAAATAAAAATAAATAAATATTGTTATTGTTTTAAGGTATGTTGGTTTGATCTTTGATGGCTTTATTTAATGTTGTTTTATTGTTCTATTACAAACTGTTTTGAGCTCCTCCAAGTAGAGAAACTGTAAATTAAAAATAACAAGGTTTTTCTTTAAAAAACAGGGTTACATTTTTTTTCAAGAAATTGCATCTTTCCCATGTTTTTAGGTTTGCACAAAAATCTTGCACATTGTTTGTAAGTGTTTATCTTTGCTTGGATTCATTCAAACGTGGACATATGTTAGTTGGTGGCAGAAAAAGAAAGAAAGAAAGAAAGAAAACAAAACAAAAAATAGTATGGTTATCTAGGTTAAAGCTGTCAAAGCACGAAACAGATTATTTATGTAATAAGTTAAGGGAGACAACAAAGAAAATTTGTCCAATAACATAGGGGCAATTATCTTCATTTCAATATAATTTATATGGTGTGTTGCACATTACATGCTTCAGTGGCACCTCTGTATGATATATTTTTATTATTATATCAAGTCTAAGAGACAAAGAATGTTGGAGAATTACATTTCTAGCTGTCACTCTGAACAATTATTACATATTATTATAGCAGTAGCAATAGCACTTAAGACTTATATACCGTTTCACAGTGCTTTACAGCCCTCTCTCAGCAGTTTACAGAGTCATCATATTGCCCCTAACAATTTGGGTCCTCATTTTACCAACCTTGGAAGGATGGAAAGCTGAGTCAACCTTGAGCCTGGTGAGACCTGGCCGAACTGCTGACAGTCAAGCAGTCAGCAGAATTAGCCTGCAATACTGCATTCTAACCACTGCCCCACCACAGCTCCATGGATAATATCATTATCCAGAATAATTAAAATAATTTATAATCCAAAGAATGGAATAAAAATTCCTTCATCAACTTTGTCAAAGATAGCACACATTTTAAAAAGGTGGCCATTCATTCATTCCATACAAAAATTAAAGCTTCAGGATTTATAACAATTCAATCTTTACAAGCTTGCTAAACGTAGTATTTAACAGTTTCTTACCTCCACACCAAGATTCAGCAAGTGTTTCACTACACTGATCTGGCCACTGGATGCAGCAGCGTGAAGTGGAGTGTAACCTTTCTTATCTTTACATGTCACTTCAGCACCATGACTAATCAATAATGAAACAACTTCCAAGTGGCCTAAAAAAGACAAGGAAAATGTAGTATTTCTTGTCTATCTTGGCAATGCAATTTAATATGACCCTCATTGTTTGTATGCCACTCTAGGTTCATAACTCAATCTCAAACAAAAGATGCTCATTCATTAGACAATTGTGAGTGTATATGTTTAATACAACTGAAGGAAGTTGAGAGATCCAATTTTATATGATATATATAAATATAAAAAATCCTGGATGATTGTTGTTCCTGGACAGGACAATAAAACCAATGAAACCTGTGTATCTGAAGATAGAAGTTTAATTATAATACTCTCTCACACACACATACATTGATTTATAACCCTTCAAATTATCTTCAGCCCTTTGAAAGGGAAAGCAACAACAGACAATTCCAAGATTCCAGTTTTAGGAAATCCGATACTGAAGAGATCTCCACATAAATAATTTCCCTTTTTAAAAAAGAAATTATTTTAATTCCACTGTATTCTACTTTGGGCTTACTTGCATTTTAAAGACAATTCAAAAGTTGTATTTTTTCCAGTTATTGTAGATAAAGGAACATGCATAGCTGGTTTTAAGGAACTGTATTTTTTTTCTTTACACTTCTTCTAACGTAATTACTCCAATAGTGAGAGTTTCACTTTCACAGGGAAGATCCTATGAAAAGGCTTTTTAAAATATGAATGCTAATTAGTTCACCTTTTTCTGCTATTAAACAGCTGAATTGTTATGCTATGAATTATTGTTTTCATAATAATTAAATTACCATCATATACCTGGCAGCAAAAAAGGGTCATTAATACGTGATAATTGTTCTGTTGAATTTCATAGTACAGTAAATAAATGATAATATCTTTTCTTTTCTGTTAACTCTATTGATGCTTATGATTAGTTAGCAATCCCATTTTCAAATATCCTATAAACAGCAGTATCTAAAGATGGGGCTGACTGACAGTTCTGAGTTTTTGGGCTTCTTGGAAAAAATGGTAAACTGAAGACAGTTCCACTAAATGTGGAGCCAAGAAACACAGCAAAATAAAAAGCCACCAAGTAATTCCTTTCTGGACAAAGAAAGACTTGGGATTGTGACGAGTGCTCAATGCAGCTGTTCCTTGCAAGGAGTTAACAAGACAGAATCTCCAATGGGTTTAGAAATTTGGGAGACTAGGGAATAGCCACCTTCTCAAACCATGGTTGGCAACTTTAAAACTGTATTATCATACTTCAGTTGCTAATCACTTTTAAAAATTGCTAGTTAACTGCTCTTCAGCTGTAAGTAATCACTGGATTGACAAATCTGAAAACACCAGGTGAGCTTCCTTCAATCCCTAACAAAATAAGTTTTACATACAGGTTTAAGGACTTAATTTGCTCTAATAAACAGCAAAAGGCTAATTAAAACTTGATTTTGGAAAGTTACAAACAGATTTCAAATAAGATTCTGGAATTCTCTGTGGAAAAAAAACTTTCCATTTTGATTTTTTTAAAAAAAATTGACATCCTGGGATGTTGAAAGTTGGACACTACAGGGAACTAAGAGGAACTAAATATTACAATTAAAGTAGAAAAAACATGCATTTGATTTACAAGTACAGAAGGAAAAAATTGTTTTAATATTACACATATTGGAGGATATTTTTGAACAATGGACCAATACTTATTTTTAAGAGTGTCAGTCTCTATAGATAAATTGTCTTGCATTTCTGCAAACTGCAGTTCCTGAACCAGCATCACTAGGTAATGACAATATCAAATTTATATCAGTAATTTCTTCAAAAACTGTCCCAACCATTTTCAGCAGACTTGTCTACAAAGCTTTGCAAAGAAAAGTATAAATTAAGTCTTCTTTGTGAAGCAGAATATGGTTGTTAAATCCAAAAGATGAGCTCCATATACTAATTACTTTGATCTTTTTCCATATGTTTTACACATTTTTGCCTTTCAACTAACATATAGAGAACTCTTTTGTAAGTCACCAACGGGAAAGAGTCTTTCAGCAAAACACATGGATTCCTGATCAAAAGAGATAGCTAATTGAAAGCAACATTTCTAAAGAATAGTTTCCTTAGTCTATCTTATAAGATGAAGTCCTATACATAATAAATTACATGCTCTCTCAGATATAAATTATAGATATGATTCAGTTCAGAGATAGGATCCTTTTTCTTCTTGTGATTTCAACATACTATAGTTTTTTTAAAAATCATGATTTCTTTTCAAAGTTAGTATCCTTGAAGGATCTTCTCAAAAAATCCAATTGTTGATAACATGTCAACTTCAGCTTGACCCAGATATAATGTCCTGGGTCATTTTTGTTTTAATTCCTTTTTGCTTTTTGGGGGGATAAATGATATATCTGTATCATATTATGACTAATGCATTTTGATTTTCCTTTCTGCTTGAAGACTATGTGTCAGTCATCTGTTTTCATGAGCATCAGTTTGTAAAATTTAATACTTATTAAATTATCGAACATCAGCATTAGAAGAATATATCAAACAACAGAAGAAATTCAAAGAAGAAATATGCTTATTAAATTAAGGGAAGATCTTGAGTATTGTAATTATTATTATTACTACTACTATTGCCAATCATGTTACACACATTTTGCTAACAAAAAAGAAAGAAACTGTCTTACCCTTGTATGCTGCCCAATGTAAAGCTCTTCGGTCTCTTTTGTCGAAGGCATTAATATTTGCCCCTTTAGCCAAAAGTAAACTCACCATCTAAAACAAGTAAACAGCCCCCAAATATACATCAGTCAATAGTTATAGACTATGCAACAATTGATTTTTAGTTTGATTTGTACTTCACAAATGTGTTTACTTTTATTGATTGATTGGTTGTTTATTCATTTACTCAATCCACTGGATGCAAATTTGCAGGACAATTCTGAGTCTGGTGTTCAGTTCACATCACATACGGGAAATGATTTTGCCAGACCAAACATATTTCAACGTAAAAGAATAATGTTATTAGGGCACTCACTTCAACATGGCCATTCAGAGCTGCATGGTGTAATGCTGTCCGACCTCCTCTGTCAGAGACATTGACACTACTCAGAAGTGGAATTATCACGTCAGCACACTTCACAGCTTTATTTGCAGCTGCAACATGTAGGGGTGTCTGCCAGTTCTTGTCTCTGGCATTGACGTCAGCTGAATGCTTAATCAATACTAGTACGGCTTCCTAGGATATCACACAATTAAACCACAAGGAAAGCATTTATTAGAAACTATAGATTATATTTACAAATCTTATACTGAACAGTGGCCTATGTATATATTACTTCTCTTCTGAAAAGTAAAATGGACTCCATTACCTTTATGCATATTGTGTTGAGTAGCTATAGAAATGTTCCTCTAGCTTTACTGAAGTGTTTAAATCCGACAGCTCTCAACATGGAAGGAAATGCTACGGTTGACATCCTACTCTGAGACAAATTCATATTCCTGTACGATTTACTGTAAATCATACTTCTCCAAAACTTCTCCAATCTGATATGTAGGATTGCAAACTCCATCATTCCCAGACTAAACATTCAACCATGTTTATTCAAAATTAAATCCAACCTAGTGGAGCATATTTATCAATAGGCTTAGATGTCGATTGTTAAGTAAGTGAAAACACTTACAAATGTGTACTTTGTACCCAGTCTGAAGACTTCTGTTATCATACAGCATTGGCAATAGTTGAAAGCTGAGCTGATATCTACCTGGTTGGGCTGCAGAATATATGAAATCACACTTTAAATGGTTTCTCTTTTGCTAGGCTGACACTCTGGAGGACTTGTCAATTTTCCACTGGTGGGAATTCTTCTGTTTACCCTCCCTCCAAATTCCTTAGCTCAATCTAACCTCTCCCTCCTCCCACAGAGAATCAGCTGTCATTGCTTCACTTATTATTAACTTTTAGCTATTTTAGCTATTATTAAAAAGCTATTATTAATAGCTTTTAGCTATTATTAACTTTTTTAAAAAATACCAAAGGACAAAGCCTTTGTGGCTTTGTAGCTCTCTTTACTTGGCCAGAAAACTTTCCTTTTTTTTTTTTTTTTTTTAGAAATTACCAATCAAATACATACAATATGGAAATAAAAACGAAAAGGAGAGATGAGGCACTGACTGAACAGAATCTTTGCTGCTTGATGATTGATCAGCTAAAGGGACTTGACTTAATGTTTCTCAGCAGTGTGAGAGGCAGAAGTAGTGAAGAAAATTGTGAGTCACTTCAAATTCTTTTTAAGGGATTGGGGGAGTGAAAATGACAAAGTGAAAATACATTTTTACTGGTTTAATCTAAATTATATAGTAGTTAGCTTTTTCACAGTGGCTGCCTTCTGAAGAATTCTGGCCTTGTGTGAATGTGTTCAGTGACTCCAACTTTGCTTCTACTGCCGTTGCAAAGGACTAAACAAACCACAGCATAATTTCTTCTTAGTGTGTTTTAATGTGATGTGCAGCTGGGGAATTCTGGCTTTTTCTCATTTTAATATGCCAGATTTGAAAGCCAATAACTCAATATGTATACCCGCTTCCCACAGGTGGCCATCAAAGAAATGGAATGGAGCTGGAAAAAACTTGCATCTTACTAAACTATTAGGGAGAGAAGAAGGAGTGGAAAGTGCTTTTCAGCTTGAGATAACTTCGATTTTACCTGGGGAAATGATCTATAATCAATGACTTTATTTACATGGACATTATTTAAATATGTAGTTATGTGGTTTCCCCACTGACTACTACATAAAGACTTTTGACTTGCAGACATCTACCTACAATGCATGGCTGACAATGGGTATAGTGGAAAACCATGCAGCTTCCAAAACCTGTACCAACACTGTGGCTCCACTGTTCTTTTAATTGCCCTTCAGACTCATTATATGCTTAAATCAGAATAATGATCAATCTACCGTGTATCTCATAAAATAAGGCCGGGTCTTATATATTTTTGAGCCCCCAAAAAACGGCTAGGCCGCCTTTTCGGGGGTGACTTAATTCCCCCCCTTTCATCCTCATCTAGAGCGCCCCGTGGTCAGCCTCGCCACCAGCCGCTCCTAACGGGTGATCATGGTGAAGCGCAGAGAGCTCCCTACTCCCACCAAACACCTTTGCTGCAGACCCAAGACCTTTGGCACCTGTCGCTGTTGCTTTCCCTTTGCCCATTCCGCCGCCACGTTTTGAGCTGCCGCTTCTGTGTTTGGAGCTGCCGCCGTGTTTGGAGTGCCGCCGCCATTTGGAGCACTGCCGCCACGTTTGGAGCTGCCACTTCCGTGTTTGGAGCTGCCACCGTGTTTGGAGTGCTGCCGCCATTTGGAGCACTGCCGCCACGTTTGGAGCTGCCGCTTCCGTGTTTGGAGCTGTCGCCGTGTTTGGAGTGCCGCTGTCATATGGAGCACTACCGCCACATTTGGAGCTGCCACCGTGTTTGGAGTGGCGGTGGCACTCCAAACAGTGGCAGTGCTCCAAACGTGGAAGTGGCAGCTCCAAACACGGCGGTGGCACTCCAAACACGGCGGCAGCTCCAAACACGGAAGTGGCAGCTCCAAATGTGGCGGCGGTGCTCCAAATGGCGGTGGCACTCCAAACACGGCGGCAGCTCCAAACACGGAAGCGGCAGCTCCAAATGTGGCGGCAGTGCTCCAAATGGTGGCGGCACTCCAAACATGGCGGCAGCTCCAAACACGGAAGCAGCAGCTCCAAACATGGCGGCAGTGCTCCAAATGGCGGCGGCACTCCAAACGGCGGCGGCAGCTCCAAACATGGAAGCGGCAGCTCCAAACATGGCGGCGGAATGGGCAGAAGGGAAAGCAACAGCAGCAGGTGCCTTGGGTCTGCAGCAAAGGTGTTTGGTGGGAGTAGGGAGCTCTCTGCGCTTCGCCATGATTACCCGTTAGGAGTGGCTGGTGGCGAGGAATTGCTGCCCGCGGGGCGCTCCTAATGGCAAGTCCCCCCACACTTCCCCCCATTTTGCATGTTTTAAAGTAGGCCTAAATTTGGGGGGAGGGGCTTAATTTGATTTTATGCCTAGAAAACATGCTGGGTCTTCCTATTGGTGGAGGCCGTATTGTTGGAGAAACACGATACATATACATATATATGTGAGCTACAGAAATATAACTGAGCTGCAAAAACAAAAAAAAGTATGTGAATACTTTTAACTATTCAACTATATATGAGACAGATTACAAACCATCTAAACACGTTCAATAGAAATCAACAGGTTTGGCAGGTAAAACAAGTCCAATACCTTCTATGTCAAGCTCATAACTTTAGTGCTTTTTTTGAAATTGATGTTAAATTATGCCATTAATATGAACCAAGGAGAGGCAATTTCTATCCACCTTCCTTTCTTTTCAAGATAAAGTTTTATTGGCTCATCTTATTAGAAATCCCATTCAGTGGACTTTTACCAGAAGCCAGCAGCTGGGAAACTCCAATATTGTAGCAGCCAAAGTGTACTCAGATTTAAAAACAAATTCTAAGAATTCATCCCCTGAGGCTTGGCAAGAACCTAGATTGTTTCAAAAGCAATTCCACCAATCTTTGGCGAAAAGCCAAGCTGGCAACTTTTTAAAAAGAAGACTTTCTCAACAGCCAATTCATTGGCATGGATTGTGTAGACCCAACTTTGGAAAATGAAAACACTCTGCAAAATGGCAGCTTAGAATGGGAGCACACTATAAATGAAAATTTAGCTACCCCTGGTTATTTCTCTCACTTATTAAGTCTTAAATGAGTAAAAGGAAAGACGGGATAAGATAGAATTGACCTGCAAAGAGTAGATCTAAGGAAACTTGTCAATCAGGTTTTGCTGGACTGTGCATTATTTTCAATAATTTGATAAGATTATTGGACGGGAGGAGAATATGCACAATCAAATCTTCATGACATTACTTTCTGGCACACTGCTGTCTCCCTCTAATATAGTCCTGCTCTAAGCAGGTATCCTAATCTTGGGAACATTCCGTTAAAGATAAAGATAAAGTTTTATTGGCTCATCACATCACATAACTTTTCCTGTTACAGGAAAGTGCAACATTCGGGAATGTTTTCTGCAAGGATGTTGGAAGGCAGTAAGTGACTATTCCTGAGTAGTTTTAAAATGAAATCGCTTTTAGCAAAAGTGTTCTTTCTTCAAAGACTTTAGAAGACCTCTAGCCAAACTGAAGAACATTATAAATGATTAATTCTATTTATAGTTAAAATCATTAGAGACTTAAATCAGCATGTTAAAATTAAGTTTTGTTCTGAGCCCAAGATTCACAAAGTGGTCAATTAACAAAGGCAGAGATGCCATTTCTTCTGCTTCTGAAACAGTAGAATGTGGACATTTTGCCACATTCCCTCTGTCCCTCTAGTGGTTTCCCTGTTCAGTGGAATTAATGGCTCCCTGCATGGTAGATTTCTCTTCTGTGAGACGACCTTTCTTAGGTCTTAAGCACAGGACTCAACAAGGTGGTGATGTAGTAGCTGGTTCATTCCCAGAGACCCTAGAAGTAACAGCAGTAGTGGGGAGATAGTAGGCAGTTGTAGTTGTTTCATCTGTGAAAGAAGAAGGGGAAAGAAAGGGAGGGGGGAGAGAGAAACATCCTGCAGTGCTGTGGCTTACTGGGACTTGAAAGAGAATGTTCACCAATGGGATTGTAATGTTTGCTTCAAGGGTTTGAAACCAGTAGAAGAGTACTCCACGCTAGTTCTATTCCATTTTGAGACCAGCATGAGAGCATACTAGACAGAAGCTAATTCCTAGAGACTCCAACATTTTATTTCCTGTATTCCTATGCCCCTATCAGAGAGTGAGTTACAGAAACTATTTTTCCTGGATTGTTCACTCATGACAGGGATGTCAAACTTGCGGCATCACATTGTTGTCAGATGATGTATTGCAACTTTGTCCCCTTCGCTAAAAGGTGGGTGTGGCCAGTGCATGACCCATCATCGGGCCCACGGGTCGTGAGTTTGACACCCCTGCCTCAAGAGAATACGAGCAATATTGCTGAAGTTTCAGCATTCTCTATAAATCCAGAATCTGATAACTTTACTGGTTAACAAGTTTTATTTAGAAAAAAAAGCCTAAGCTGTTGTGAACTGTAGCTCACTCCATCAGATGCCTTTTTGATTTGATAAAGTGAATTATCACAAATGGAAGCTGAGGCCTTTTAATAAAACATGGTAGTTGGAAAAGATGCT